GTGAGCGGGTTTATGACCCCACCCGCGTTATCATTGGAAAGACTTCGCTTGAAGTATTTAGGTAGTACCATTTTGACGCGTTGAAAAAATAGGAAGATTTGATGACCTATTTTTAGACTAGTTCTTCCTCGGTTATTTGATAATAGACTGTCATAATCTTTTAATAAACTAACCTTCTGTGTATATTTCGTAGCTACTGTCCATGGTCGCGAACCCACGTCAATCTTCGAACATTTTTGATGGCGTAATCCTGCTTCTCTCCAAAGGCCACAATGTTTCATCCCCTTCCTCGATTCCATCTTGTACGTGTCAAGATATGTCTCCAGGCGCATTCTGTTGTAAATGTTCCCGTGGAGCTTTAAATTGTTCTCACAACACACCACGTCCACGCAGTTTCTTTTCGCTAGCAACTGCTGTCAAGGCGCTCGCCGAACACCTCGCTCCGATGCCTCATCTCCTTGTGTTGGTTTCCACGGCGGATGGCATTGGTGAGGGAGGTCGACAAATGGAGCCCTCCATCTATCGAAACCGATTTTTCGCTACACAGTTGCACTCGCCGTCAGAACCCGTTAGGTCTTTACCACAGACACCCGTTGCTAGAAATTGTAGTGGTGAGAGAGTGACCGGTAGTAGTCAGTCGTTCTCGTTTGATGACGCTGATCTGGAGGAACCGTCGCTTCCTTTTGAAACACCTCACTCTCCAGTTAACTTCGGACTTGCATGTATTTTGGGTAGGTCTTTTTACCCAATATTATTTTCGTACTAGTCATGTTATATAATTGAGTAATAATGTCGACGAGCTTTCATTATCTTTTCTGGAAACTTCGTGTTTTTTTAACCCACAGAACTTTGGTTATTAGTACTATTTCTGCCTCAATTCTTTGGATCAGAAAGAAAATCGTCTGGCGAACATTTGAAGGAGATATTTGCTTATCCTAAAGGAGTGTTTTTGTGATTTATTCCTGCTTCTGGGTGCCTGTGAGTAGCCAGAATATTCTAATTTACGACCTCGTTGTGGTTATTGTTTCGATTCTTATTTTTAAGGTTGAGCACACATCTTTCGCTGGCTTGGTTTTAACTATTTAAACACACTTGTCTCATTCCACACGAACCGAAAACTATGTAGATCCAACCACGTAGTCACTCTCAAGCATATTTTTTCCCACAACCCAGAACGAAATTTTTGTACGTTGCAGATAAGCTTTCTGCTTTCCTATCAACCTGCTGGACACGCAAACTAATTTCGAGTGACGATGGTTGTCAGGATGAATCAGGTGTCCATCAAAGTACCTCACCTAAGACAAAGGGTGGTGCCGAAGGGGTTTGTGGCTCCGTTCACGAAAGTCGCTTCCGCCATACTGTTCCTCTATGTCAACTTCGTCATCATCACCGTCGGTGTTCTTACCGACGCCACCATAATCATCGACGTCACATCCGCAGACATCATCATCATCATCACCATCGGTGTAGTAAAGCTGCGGCGCCTACTGCAGCCGTCAAGATATTCCGTACTTCTTCCGCTTCCTCTTTTGCAAGCTCAAATCCAACCACAACTTTGAATTGTCATCGGCCTCCCAAGCTCACTCTAACCCCTGCACTCCCTGCTCAGCCGAGGAAATTCGTCAGAAGTTACAGTCTGCCTGCCTGGACTGATGAAATGTCTTCTTGTGTCCCACTGACACAGCCAACCTGTTTTGCTGCCATGTCTTATGAACCAACTCGATTTCTGTCAAGGTTTGTTTCTTGTAAAATACTTATTTACGTTGACTACTAAAAAGTTTTCTTTAAAAAAGCTCATTGAATTATTTGATGGCGAGATTTCCGCGACGCTATCAGCCGAATGAGCTTAAATGCCTCCGTCTCAGTATGACACATCATTGGCTAACTTCAAGTCGCACTTCGGTAATGCGTCTTCTGTTTCATGTCCATCAAGTCTGTCGTCGCAAAGCCAGACAAGCCGCTCTTCCTCCCCCACCGTTCAATCATCCACATTTGTCTGATCGTGCGCCTCCGTGCGCCCACCAGCCACTCAACCCACACTCGTACCCATTGGAGTACCAGTACACTCGCTGTCTCACTTGGCATGGCTCTCCTTCCCCGGTATCTATGACGTTTAACAAGATAGTAAGAAAACAAAGCTGGGGGCTTGGATCTGAAAGGACAAAACCTGTGGCAAAAGCTGAATTGCATCCAGTGGAAGCATTGCTATGTGAAAAGCCATTATCCTCTAATATGGCAACGGTAGATCACATTTTGCTCAAAAGACACTGTAAACAGTTAGGGAATTGAAATGTGCATTCTCCCAACATCCGTCGCATTTCTCGAACCTTGCCTTTTTTTTAAAATTCGCATCTATTTTGTTCTCTACAAAGTGATTTGAATGGGAAAAACTTGACTCTACTGTAGAAATTAAGAATTGCCTTTAGACTCTTTGATGGGAAACCAAGCGCTTTCTACAAAGAGGGAATTCAAAAACTTGTAGGACGTTGGGAGACACTTATGAAATTACGAAAGGTACATTATTTCTTATAAATACATTTTTTTCTACAAAGCGTTACACATGGCTTGGTTCTGAACCGGATACGAATTTTTGCAATCACAAAATCAAGTTATTTAGACTATCGGATTGATTGGTGAATATTTGCTGGGAAAAGACTGCAAATTATTGTATTCTGCCCCCATATTTCTGAAACATCTGAATTGTCTTACGTGGCTTCTTGAAATCAGAAATGTCGATAGCTGTGTGAAGTTTTCCTGCCTAGCTGATGCTGTTAGGTCATCTACATACACTTCGCTCTCATCTATCGCCTCTGATTCGGGCTGAGGCATTCATTGTGGCCTGTAGGTGGAATTCGATGCAACTTTATCTGTCCCGAACTTTTTTGAGCTTTGCTGTATTTTCGTCGTATTTCTTTGTTATTTTCTTTTCAATTCAGTCTGCGACAAAAGCTTTGGGTCGTCCGTCGTTTTTTCTGTCTTCCGGCTCAGAAGCAAAATATTGAGTTCTGTCACCGTTTCGATCAACTGACATTCTATTTAATTTTTTTGCTCGTGCAAAACCTTGCGCAGAGAGTTTAGATCAGGTATAAAAAGTTTGCAAGCATCCAAATAAATTCGATATAGTGGGTCTTAAACTTCATTTCGTAGTTTCACAATTGCCGCTTAAATTAAACGCCATTATTGCCGGTAATGCCCTGTGTTGTGCTTTTCAATTCGATTTTTTAGATCACTCAGCACGTTTAAATATCGTCGAAAAACAGTTTCGCATTTCGAGACCGAACCGCCTCTAACCACTGGTTCATCGGACTCGAAACTTGGTGATGGTGATGCAACTGTGGAAAGTGAGTTTGCTGTTAATCCAGTCTGGATACACTAACTGTTAAAAACCATCCATGTTGTTACAGCGGATACGAAAAGGTGTGCCACAACACAGACAGACATGCTTCAGACATTCTGTAATGTCTGATGAACTAATACTGCTTAGTCCAATGTCACGCTTTCCATGATTTCCCGTTTATTGCCTATTAATTTGAAAATGTGAAGCCATGCATACATTTTCATTGTTGCTGCCCATACCACCCACACCTCAATACTACAGAGTGTGCTTTCGGCGGAATTCCTTGTAGCGTTGGCCCAGCCTTTTTTTAACATGCACAGATGACAGTCCCTATTCTCTGAGTTGTCTTACTTAGACACCCCGAAATCTAATCAAACACGCATGTCGCAACTTGTAACCTCGACCCTTGAACCCCCGTCGGGCGACTGTTCCTCTGCCGCCTCCTGTTCTCCTCATCCAATGGCTTCACAGTCTTCTCGCTTAGTTTTCGCTTCCGAGAGGACCACTTATGATCCAGTATTTCTCAAGTTTTCTGAGGGCGTCTCCCCCACTCTACCTGATGGTGCTGGATCGGTAGAAGTGCACGTACTCTCAGAGCAGCAAAGACGACGGCGTCTACGTAAAAAGGGGTGCAAACAGAGGATACAAGAAGTCGAACCAGAGGCATTCCATAATATTAACGATGCTCTTGAAATGGGAACCATCCAGTTGATCCCTTGTCCACACATTCAGCGGCCACCCACCACACCGCCTCCTCAGTTTCAATCTGCTTCTGGTCTCGTCTGCCGTCATTCGCTCAGACAACAACCTGTCGAACAAAACAGTACGTTTTGTCAGAGTAGTATGGTTAAGGTTCAGATGTAATTTTTGTATTTTTACTGGACCACTGCATGTCAGTGGTTTACATTGCTTTAAAATGTTAGTGTTCAGCTCTTATGTATCTGACTTCACGTTTTGTAATCTCCGAATTCCTGTGTTCCCTAACGCAGGCCTTGACTTTGGTTTGAATCATCGAGGATCGTCGACTTGCGAACACAACTATCAACCTCACAACAATATTTTTGGTGTTGCTCCTCCAACGACCACGTCGACAGGTGGCAGTGTTTCGTCGTTTTTCACCTCGGGCATCCGTGCTGTCGCCAGCGGTTTTGGTCGCCCCCGTGAGCGTCGGCGTTCCGTGAGTACGCCCTGCGGTGGAGAATTGCCTAATAATACTACTGGCTCCTTGAAGACGTCCTGTGTTGTGGTTCCCTCATGCGTCTCATCCCATACTGCATCCTCTACTCCGGGTTCTGGGCGAGCTGGAGAGTTCTATCCTAATGTGCATGAGTACGCCTAACTTTGGGATGTCACATAAAGACTGAATACCTTAAGTATCAAATTACCCTGAAACCAATCATGCCCCGTTTCTTGGGCTGTTTGAACTAATGTTTCATAGACTAGCTGATATAAGTTCAACTTGGCAGTGTCCTTGTATTGCTCCCTTATAAGTTGTAGTTGCTCTTGTTTCAGTATCCCCGTATGCTTACTAATTTAAGTACCGATCAATAAATCGGGATGACGTCCCTTAGACCTCACATCCAAACCTTGTTATTCCGGTAATTGTTTTGCTCCCACCATACATGTACTCGAACGTAGTGAGCCTGGATATACTCCTGGTTTCCGGTATAACCCTAAAATTCGTGCCAGAATAGTCAAGTTTTTTTCAAAATGCTGCACTTGAGTAATCTAGGGAATCTAGCTTCATTGGAATGCGTGGCATTTAGCTTAACTTTGGCCCCATGTGTCTTCTCAACATTTTAACTATGATGTGTTTTTATTAATATGGCTTAAAAATCGGTACTTCAATAAACATTTTTTGTTCTAAAGTCTGGAAACGTCCCAGGGAGCTGGCGGTGACTACCCCACGACGACACTCTCCAAAGCTTCAACGCCACCCTTCTCTTTCGATGATCTGGAAAGCATCGGCATATTTGCCGGTGGTGGTGGTAGTGGTGGGACTCCCCTTCTGCGCCTACAAGTCACCTCTTTGGATCATTTAACGCATATGGCGGCGTCCAGTCGGCCAGCGGGTAAGGGCGGTTGCTTCGCGGTGACGCCACGGCATTGGCACCTGCCCTCCTGCCCCCACAGACTCTGCATACCCCGACAGAACTTAGTGCCTCCGTCGCAGTCTACGACTCGGCGGCATCCGCCCTCTCTGACGACTGCGCGACACTGTTGGCTTCAAATGCCTGTTGTCAGCGGTGCTTCACCCTCCTCTAAAACTCTGCATAATGATAAACAGTCTTTCGTAAGTCCTTTTTGCTTGTTAGTCGGCGTCACGAGCCGAAATTCTTACGTCGCCATCAGTCCCAACGTCGAGTTGAAATGCACTTAATCGATTTACACTTTGATGAAATGTTTGCTGTGTAAAACTCGCACGAACTGTTGTGCACAAATCTCAAGGAGATTGATTTAAACGTAGTAAAATATACCTCAACAATCATAACATTCTGAAACTCTATGACGTGCTGTTAAAGTCTTGGATTTATTAATACCATCTTTTCAATTAGCTGCTTTGTTACGCAGGCGTGTAAAAGTAAGGTTAGTTCTTCTGATCAAACGTGTTGAGGGATTAGTCAGACTTTATCTTCGAAAAGCGTTATTGGTTGGCCTTAATAAGTGCTTTCGATCACTTTTTGATCAGGGATATATTCAGTGTATCCGAAGAATTGTAACATTTCGACCTTGTGTAGACTTCGAGCATAGTTATTTATCTTATATAGGAGTGTTGTCTCGACTATTCCACGATGTGAATGACTTTGTAAATCGGAAGCCGTTTTTAAAGCAATTTATGATGATTACGGAAAATACTATCATTACATAGCCCAAAAGTGTTAGCTTACCACGCTTAATGGGAGATCATGCCATCAAACTTGGAGTGTCTAAGATTACATACTAGAATAAGTTTTGGGGCATTTTTAAGGCCCTATTTGTGAGTCCAACTGCATATGAAACGCTTCTCACAAATGAGTGTGTCTTCCTATAAGTTCTTTGTAAGTTTGGATAAATCGTGTTGTCGAATTGCAGCTGTCCTCTGACATTAATTCGAGTTAGGACATCTTTGTGTTTTGATGTTTCTTCCTTCACTTCGTCCCTTGGAAGTTGTTGCACCCGTAATAATACCTTTTCCGAATTCCTACCTTCATAAATTGTTAATGACGTTGTATTCCTTGGCAAGGGAATTCTTCCTCTGTCATGTTGAATGTGTTCGGCTCCATGGGGCCTCTACTTTTGAATGTAAGGGTAGGGTTTTGGAAGTCATTTCCAGATTTAATCATCAGCTATAGGCCATTCCCACACGATTTGTACTGCTTTTTAATTACTATATATTGATGTTATTAGTTCGCACTATTGCATTACCTTAATTTACTTGTCTATTAGATTTAATCTAATTTCCTACTTTAGCTCGCTTCCTACTGGCTGTCGTAACAAGGCCGTTTTAGGAAAGTAGTGTACTAAGTGCTCTTATTATCGCATGTTTTGCATTACTTAGATTCAAACCAAAAATTCTTTTCAACACTAACTTGCTATGATTTTTTATGGATCAATTTTGGAAAAGGCTGTGAGTCCTGGACTCTTCAGGGCCAATGAATGGTCAACCGTATGCGAAGTTTGGGGCGTCTTTTTTTTCGTCATTTTAGACCACCTTGGGTCTTCTGTGTAATTTCTCAAATCATTCCATACTGATGTACTTTTATTACCATTTTAGGTTCAAACAGGCTTCATATAATTTAAATCTATAAATGCGAAACTTAAATAACAAGGACCCATTGAAGTGTTTCACCTGTAGGTATGATCTTTGCAAATTTCGAGGCTCTGATTCCTTTTATGCAAAATATTTTCTCTAATTTTATCAAGTGCCATTTAATCAAGCGCATAGTAACTACTGGTGGTGTATAGGTAGCTTCATAACAATGCTATACAGAATCTATAGTCGGCTGTCTTTGAGGTGGTAAGTGCAAACTGGAACTGTTTTTCCTCAACGTTATTTATTTAGTAACTTTGAAGTACTGATGTTACGAACTTTGTTTTTTTTAATTCTGAGTACGTTTTTTCCATAGTGCCGGTTTTCTTGTGTGAATTTTGTGTGGGTGATCGTGTGTGTGCGGTTTCTTGTTTTTCAAGACAATGTGGTACTGTAAATTTTTATTTATAGAAATCTAGCCACTGTACTGACCCATCGCCTATGAGCACCGCACTCCCTCCCGAATCTCGGCCTCCAGCGTTGCGTCACTTGCCTGCAAGCCCCTCCAAGCACCTCCAATACCCCCCTACGCTTCAACCACCCTTTGCTGGTGATCAACAATCGACTATGGATCTTCTCTCATCACCTTCCAACGCTTCATCGGATGACTTTGTCCCATCGATTAGTCGACCGGGCACATTTCGGACAGCAGCAACGGCAATGGCGCAGTGTGGGGAAAAAACGGTCCCTCGTCCATCCCCTCCATTGGCCTTATCATCGTCTACTAATCATCCGCCAAGCTCGCTTTCCACTGGCTTCTTGTTGTCGTCACCTGTCAAAGAAAGCTTTCTTAGTCCAAGTGCATCGGGAAGGCGGAGTAAACGCAATGTGGTCTGTGCTTCGCATTTCCTCGGTTTCTCACCGCTATTCAAGCTTTTTGTATATGTTTCTTCAGTTTATTAGTTTGTATACGTATAAAGTAGTTTGGTCTGATAGAGGCGCTTCCTCTGTGATTAGACTAATAAATCACGGTAGTGCTGTGATTTCAACTGAAAAGGACAACAGCACGATCAAACATTCATGGCAAATATTTGTGTAGCCTTGTCACTACATTCATTTTTAGAACCTGAAGGTTTGACGGCTGGGTGATTTTAAGGCAATTATTTGACTTCTTTGCTTCTGAGACCTGTGCAACACGTTTTGCTCCGCCGAAGCTTAACAACCTAAAAAATCCCATTATTGCCTTATGCGGTTTTGTAAATTAAGCATGAGACAGAAACGAAGAAAATTTCGTTTAAATTCACAGTGCTTTGTGCTGGTATGAAGTTTCTCCGTCTCAGCGAGTCTTTTCGACTTCCCACTGTGCTTTATGTAGCTATCACTCTTCAGTGGGAGGACAAATATCTCCTTGTCAGAGCCACAGCCACAAAAGTGTAAGCGCCAGCAAACTTTCTCCACAGGCCCAGGTGGTGGAGCTTCATTTCCCTCGACTCCTATCCGGGATCCTTCTGGTGTGCAAACTGTGCTATCGTTCGGTCATCATAAAGCGAAGTCTACCACGCCACCAGCACCCAACTCTGCCGCTATAAATAACACCTGATTATGTGAGCATGTATTTCAACCATGATTCACATGTCCTTCTTCATATTTATCTTGCGTAATGCCTTAGCAAAAGTCTTTAGTGGTTCTAATTTTACCAATTTTTCGACACCAGTATTCCTGATTTGTTTCAATCTTTTCTTTCGGGTGCCTTTTCGCGTAGTTAAAGGTCTCCAAAAAACTTACACTTTCGTGTTGCCTCTGAACGCTCTGTCCCCTAGATATGAACTTGCCGCCTATGCTTGTGGTGGATGCAAAAAATGACATTCGACGGTAAAAAATCAGTTCTATTTTCTGCTTTGGGCAATAACTAATTTCATCCATTTTCTATCTTTAAACTTTACATCTTAGCTCTCTTTTAGATAAAACTTTGTTGCCGTCTGAGAAGCCTAGTGTTTCCGGTAAGGTCATAAACTCTTAGTAGATCAGTCGCGTTTTGTGCTGTTTTTGACTTCTGCTGTCAAGTGACCTGCATGGGGAAAGTATTAACAAGAAGTAGAAAGGAATACCTAAGGGTTGCAAATGTATTTTTTGGTGCATAACATTAAAGTGCAGCTTCAAGTGATATCACGAACGGTATTGGCAACAGCGCTAAATTGACATGCAATTTTGCCTTAGAACCACTTGCGTAAAAATCAAACTGATCGGGAAAGTCATTGGACCGCCTTGTTGATTGCAATTATGTGCTCACTGTGTAGACCTGTTAGTCCCTTTGTAACTCATTTCCTTCAAGGAAGTCGCCATTATTAAACTCTCGTTTGTTGGAAAATCATGTCCTGAATGTGTTAAAACTGCCAATCTTAGGTGGTCATTTACACTGAGAAACGTCTGTGTGGCACTACATATCCAAACCCAGATGATTGGCGGGGGGAGTTTTATATTCTGCTGCAGCAAAGTCAAGCAACTTAGGGAAATGTAGAAAAGTACTGCAATTTAGGTGAGGGGGTTTTGTGCATGATCGACTTCACGATACAAGACTATCATCTGTTTGATACTTCTGGAAGTTCCTTATCGGGTTCTATCTGTTTGTTGTACCCCTCAGCTACCCAAAAGGTAAACGAATGTCATTGGCTAAATTGTATAAATTTGGAAGTAGGTCATATTGAAATCCAAGCGTGTGTGATTGAGGTATTGTTGTATTGAACCTAAAATGTTTGCTTATTATGGGGCTGTGAGGAATGAAAGGTGGATGTTTTTGTCGTTACAGGCTCCTCCGTGGTAGTCGTTTATGCTGATCTAAGGAAAATGAGTGACTGAATTCGACATTCCGCATTTATCACTGGCATGAGACGACTCAGCTCCAAAATCCAGTTCCTTGCCTGAAGGGACCATGTCTTCTCGACTACCTTCGGATTGACTTGTGTTTGCGGCACTGATTCAAAATCCAATCCCCATTCTCTTCGCCATACTTGAGTTTTTTGTGTATGGCTGCTCTTGTTTGTCCTTTACATGCGCATCTTCCACCTTCAAATGTGAATTTCTTTTCTTTTCACTGTTCACTTGTGGGATCGATGCTTTGTGCTAACTCGCCCTAAATACATATTATACTACATTTAATTTTATGTATTGCTAGTATATGCCCACTGACATCGCGTATCAAAATGTGGTTTCTAATCTAAGTGCTCCACAGTAAACTCATTGGGAAGTTTAACTGTTGTCTGTATTGCAGGCCCCAGTGCGGTTAGAGAACCAAACCATGGCCGACTGTCTATGCCGACACGACCCGACCGAAGGATTAGTAGAAATGCAGACAACGCGCAGCTCAACTTATTTATTGATGTAGTAGAGGCGTTTTGTGCAGAGTAACAAGTACGTTTACATAGCCTTGCTAAACTTCGATCCCTGAACGAATGTAGTGGGTAAAGTGCATTCATATGATTTAATTGAGTCATGTTCGCTCACTTGCTAACTGCAATCGCACGCAATTGCTATGTTCGTTTGCTACTTGCCACATCTGTGTTTAACGTTCGAGTTCCGCTTCTACAATGTTCGTGCTATTCATCGGCCACCAATTGGTGTAGTTTGGTGGCTAGTTAACTAGTATTTTAGACAGCGTTAATTAAAATGCCCACTCTTTACGTAATGCTATGTGAGTATCTTGATTTGAGTTTAAATAACCAATTTGGTGTGCACAAAAGTGTCGTACTGCCTGCAAACGTGGGTATTCGTTGTCCAGTTATATTTTACTAATAATTTATTAATTCTGGAACACAAATTGATGTTAGTAGTCCCTTCCGAATCTGCTTGAGTTGTTCGCTTGACTTTGAGCTACAGTTGCGTAGTGGAGCGCCATCCTATTAACCTCAGTACTGTCTGATTTCTCCAATAAACATATACTAGTTCGATAATTGATTGAATAGCAGTTTGAAACTAAGAATGGCCGGCATATCTGGAAATGTCCTCTGCCCTTAGCTGCTTTGCGGTTCTCCCTAATATTTGATGGGTTCAGTATTTTCTACTAGCCAATCTATTTGTGGCAAGGCAAACCATCGAAGTCAACTTTGTTCAGCTATCTCAGTAGGCCTTTGAGCTTGCTTAAACCTGATCCTTATCCTTACAATGTTGCACTTCTAAACAGACAAATGAGTAGTATTCAAATCTGTATTATGCGACCGTCAAAAAATTTAAATTTGGAAATCATGCTCGGAAAAAACACTCGTATTCACAACAAAGCGCTTTTCCTTGAGCTGATTAGGCGCTCACAAATACACTTGATTTATAAGAGGCTCAAGAATGTTTGATACAAAGACCTGGAATAGATAAAATCCCACCCAGAAAATCATTCGTTATCTTTGAACTGCACTCGAAAAAATTAGAGCAATTAAAGTTAGGGCGATACTAGATAATGGAAGATATTTTGTTCATGAAGTCGTAGTAAACTGTCAGCAATCGTTCGTGAGCGAAGCTTACTTACATAATTAATAATTTTAATCAATTCGCTACCTTTCATTCGACACTGTTATCAGTTATCTGCCACGCAGTCGCACTCATCCGCACACAGACACCTGGCTGACAGTTAATCGGGATGTTAGCTTCTCTAATTAATGATATGAATGGGTGAATACAGATAAACGTGAGTACAAATATTGGAAATGACTACTGATAACTACGAAATTGGTGCTGTTAGTTAAATTGTTCACGTATGCAGTGTTGATTTATAAGCAGCTAACACTGTACTGTCCTGCAAGTTTTCGACTGAAGTTGAGCACAAGTTGCTCCATCGAATGGCATATTAATTTTCAATGAAGCCGAAGCAACGTACCACCACGATAGATGTTAGGGAAAAAAATAAGTTCTAGCTACCAGATTAGCAGAGCGCTACTTTCTCTATAGTCAATTTTTAAAATTGCAAATTAGGGCATACTGTGTAACTGAATTCCCATTTTAGGTGAGTATTAAGGGAGCCGTAAAATGGCCCTTCATGTATTTTCATAAATTTTGAAACTTTTTAGTGCGCATATAAACAAATAAAAGTACAACAAATTAATATCGGGAAACGCTGCCTTTTGAAAAAATTTCCTGAAAGAATTATCACTGTGAGACTACAGCTGTAAAATTAGTAATAGTGCTAGCAAATTAAAATAATAAAGCTTGCAAAAAAATTAAGAATTAACTCAACGTTTCCTTTTTCATGTGACTTCTGTAAATAAGGAAACGTTAGATTGAAGTCATTTTTGTTTAAGTAAATGGGCTTTTCGAGTTACCTTAAAACTCGGGAATATTGAAAATGTCGGCTTCTCTTCCGTTTATTTTTTGATGCATAGTAGTGTTGAAATAAATCGATTGTTATTGTCTAAGTGAAAACAGAGTACTTTTCGCATAGGCTTTCTAATTAACCATCATAAGTTTTCTCGATTGCGTTTTTTAATTATCCTTTATACTAGCTTTTTAGTATGTTTGGTTAGTCAATACTTCTGACATTCTAATTTCCAGTCGAACAGATCCTGTTTGCTTCTCACTAGTAACTTTATCCATTGTAGCATCATGGATGTTGCTCAAGCCCAAATACGTACTATTAGTGTACCGGACGTCTTGGGTGAGGACTGCCAGCGGCGTTTCCAAATTTTTCTAGAGAGGTAGCGAATATTTGCAAACTTTTTAGGAGCAAACGTTTTAGCCATAAGGAAAACAACGTCTCTAAGTACATTGAGGATGCAAAGGAACTGAAACAGCTTGAGAAAAGCACATTGTCCGTGTCCTTTGATGATTTGTTGATGTATGATAGCAGATTTGCGTCTTTGATTGAGGATGAGTATTTCCGGTAAGCAATTTCGTAATTTTATAGTTTTTTAGTGTTTATCCTTATTTATGTAATGCTGTGAAAAATTTCATAAATGATCAGGTCCCTGATACATTAAATTCGGGTCGTGACTTCTACGTGAACTTCACAAATATTTCGACTCTTCACAGGTATTTTCGCTACCAATTGTGACCCTATCAGGTTACGCGAGCTAAATGCTCAGCAACTCGGTAAACTTGTTAAAATTCGAGCTCAAGTAGTTCGATCTCACCCTGTTCATCCCGAACTTACCCTTGGCACATTTAAATGTTCTGATTGTGGCACGGTTATTCGTAATGTTGAACAACAATTCAAGTACACACAGCCAAGTGTCTGCTTCAACCCCCAGTGTGCAAACCGTATCAAGTTTGAATTATTGACAAATCAGTCAAAATTCGTGGATTTCCAGAAAGTGCGTGTTCAAGAAACTCAGGCAGAGGTATCTCGTGGAAGCATTCCTCGAAGGTAACCTCTTTTGCTGTATACAAATTATTTGCTTTGGTAGCATGGAGGTACTACTTCGTGCAGATGCCGTTGAGTTAGCTCAGCCGGGTGATAGGTGTGAATTTATCGGCACATTAATAGTGGTTCCTGACGTTGGGCAGCTCGCTTCACCAGGTAAGTCGTCTTGCCTCAAGTAAACTTTCCTTAAATTTAAGCCGACGCCTGTTCATAATTGTGTTGGTTCGCTTTTTAATGACCTTTCGTTGAATCATTTTTGGAGTTTCAGAGTTCACTGGTTTTAGGTACACGGTCACTTGAAAGAAAAGGTACGAGAACAATCGACGGACAGGAAACCGGTATTTCAGGCCTAAAAGATCTGGGCGTGCGGGAACTTACGTACAAAATTGCCTTTTTCGCATGCACTGTCGTTCCTGCCAATGGCCGTGTAAGGTTAAAAAAGTGCACATATTTTGAACCTTTTAAAGCTACCATTGTGTTTCCTTATGTAGCGCGTAATATTTTGGTGTGTTAGCATTTCTTTGGTTTCTTTTCTTATTTACATTATGACCTGAAGTGCAATTATGTATTTAAAAGAACTGAAATGCCAAATTAACTAGAATGCCAAACCACAAAAAAGTACCAATTTTTTGTTCAAGGAAAATAAAACTCCATTAAATTTGCCATGTTTGTGCAATAGTGTTTCGCTATTTTTTTATACTGCTTTGTAAGCTGATACCTAAGGAGTGATTTTTTTTTAACTAAACACAGACCTTTGATATCCAGGCATGCTGCTACTCTTTTTCGCTTTTCGCAATGTTTTGGAACGGGAAATTACTTTGTAAATGATGTGAGCGATTAATCCAAGTAGGCGATATAATTTTTTCTACATATGAAAAGAAGTATTATATTTTACCTTCGGAAGACAGGATGGTTTGGTTCCAATTTTTTTACAATCCAAAACAAGTCTCATCATGGTTGATATCCTCGCTCTTTTGAGAAACATGCATAAACTTGATTCCATATCTGGACAGATTATCAGTGGTCTAACCGTTTTGTCTTGAAGTATCAACGCAGACGAACGGCAGGATAACTTACTTCTCTGTTAGAAAATTAAATTTGTACTAAGAAGTCCGGCGCTTTCAAAGCGACCATTACAAAACCCCAAATTGGTCGAAGGCTAAGCTCTATGTGCGTTTAAATTAAATCCTCCGTGTCACTTGCAAGTACGTATCCCCTTAGTTGAATTCTTTTATCATTTTTTTCCAAAAAGACCTTTTAATGCTGGTTTTGAGGTCCCTGAGTTAGGTGATTTGCTAACTCGACGAAGGTTGTATGCACAAACTGGGCCATGCCTTTGCACCTGACTGGGCTAACATACCTGAAGTGGCTCTTTGATGCAGTTTTCGGGATTATATTGTCTAGTTGTGTTGTCATTCTCCTTTCTCTCACACCGCTACCAAACTTGGGAATTGTGGGCTCTAATGTGCTCGTAATCCTCGCCGTTGTTTCTAGTAATTCTGCTTTTACCTTTTGATATAAATTTGTCGTTCAGTATCGATGCGGTTAAATGATCGTCTGCATTATCATGTGTTTTGAATCATTCATGGTATTCTGAGAATCGAAACCTGCGTATCCATGCTGAACAGATATGAAACTGCACATTATTTTAGACGCCATGTTGTCATTTGTATTTACAGCCTTCCATAACCTCGACAGATAAAACCCAGCGTACTCCAATAATGCATTTCCGATTTATGCTTCTGGTTTTCGAAAAGGAATGATCTTTTTGCATTGTGTACCTTTTTCGTATCCAGTACCTTCCATCCGATGATTTGGAGTCTGCAGACGGTATTTCGTACGAAGCGATGTCGAAACGTTTGAATCAGGCCGAACTTGATACTATTTGTAACATGAGCCAGGATAAGAATCTCTTCTCAAACCTCTGTGCCTCACTTTTTCCAACAATTCATGGTAGTGAAGAAGTTAAAAAGGGTCTTCTCCTTATGCTTTTCGGTGGAGTTCCTAAGGTACGTAGTCTCTCGTTTTCGTATTTTAAATGAGGAAAAATTTCTAAATGATAAACCAAACCATTGTGATTTTCCCGTCACCATATATTCATCATGTCTTGAGATGTGAGTCGTTACATTTTCTGTGCTGTCGTGTCCTCTAACGGTGGTCTGATTTTTTTGAATGTCAGAATAGCTATGGAGGAAATCAGGCACCTACTTATTATTTTTAGTAAACATCATCAGTCAGGCCTTTAATGACGTGCATTGGTGCATTTATCGTAGGCCATGAATAAATGACGATGCATTGAATTATCCACTGGGAATTTTCCTGATATGGCTGTCAAATACTACAAATAATGGACTTGGGATGAGTTGGAAGCTCGGTTGAATTGGGCTAATAAGTTCCTAACACTTGTTTTGCTGTCTTCTCGATAGGTTACAGAGGAGGGTACGCACTTGCGTGGGGACATCAATGTTTGTCTTGTGGGTGATCCCTCTACAGCAAAGTCGCAGTTTCTCAAGCAGGTAGAACAGTTCTCGCCTAGAGCTATATACACCAGCGGAAAAGCGAGTTCTGCTGCTGGTTTGACGGCTGCAGTTGTGCGCGATGAAGAGTCCTTTGAGTTCGTCATCGAAGCTGGTGCACTTATGTTGGCTGACAACGTGTGTTATGGTTTTCTCATTTTTTTCGAGATTTTTAAAGTCATCATTTTTGTATAGAAAATATTTTCATCTCTTCCATGTTTGCATATTAAAGAGTATGCCTGATTTTTATTGCATTGGTCCTGTTTTCGAATTTGGCAATCAATGTTCCGTTCAATTGTGGTTGAAACATTTTTCAGCTCTCAGTAATTCTAAATTGTATTTCCAATATTTTTAAGTAATTTTTTGATTGGCTAGTGCAATGCACACTAAAATTCTGTCTACGACCATCCCTATGCTTCTGAATTAATTTTTTGTGTTATCTATGGTCTAATTACGTTAAAATCTAAAATACGATAGTTTTCACCGCTTGCCGACCTCGTTTTCTAGTCTACATAAACTTGATTTCTTTATTCTACCCTTTACTTAATGGCAATTCATTGCTGTTTTTTCCCCAGGGCGTTTGCTGTATCGATGAGTTTGACAAAATGGACATACGAGACCAGGTCGCCATACATGAGGCCATGGAGCAGCAAACAATCTCTATCACGAAAGCCGGCGTCAAGGCGACTCTGAATGCGCGTACTTCCATCCTTGCTGCTGCCAACCCCATTGGTGGTAGGTATGATCGCTCACGTTCCCTTCGACAAAACATTGGAATGTCGGCTCCCGTCATGTCGCGCTTCGACCTTTTTTTTATCCTTGTTGATGAATGCAATGATGTAAGCCTTTGCGAACCTTACCCACGTCGCAATGGGCTTGAATTTTTTACTACGTCCGATTTCCTTTTGTATTTTGTAGGTCGTGGACTATGCGATTGCCAAGTCCATCATAGACTTGCACATGGGTCATGACACCCAAGTTTCAGCTTCGAAAATCTATTCATCCGACGATATACGGCGCTACATCGCCTTCGGTCGTTGCTTCAAGCCAAAGGTTCGATGCTCGTAAATCATTGAATTTTACAATTGTCTTTATAGGGCAGTGAAAAATGTGCTATTTTGTGCAGTAGTTTTATCATACCTAGCGTCAATTGTTCTGTTTTGAACTAATGGGATCTCAATAATTTGGTCGCTACCTGTAATTAGAGCCCCATCTAGGCTGTCAATTGAAACGGGTAGTCGATGTATTCAGCACATGCTGGTCACCCTTAGCAAATATTCACGTTTTGACTTTTGATGCTATTGAAAATGTAATTATCCTAAAAACCGGGTATCACCAACATTGTAATTTTTTTTTCAGATCAGTATCGAGGCCATGCAATTCATGGTGGAAGAGTACAAGAAACTTCGTCAGCGTGATGCCTCATCTGCTTCTAAATCGGCATGGCGAATTACCGTACGCCAACTGGAAAGCCTTGTTCGTCTTTCTGAAGCAGTCGCTCGTCTTCATTGCGCTGACACAGTAAGGCTTTCGTCTTTCACATCCCACCACATGCAGCCGTTTACTTAGCCTGTGATGTATACTTGTAGGTATACACTAGTAACGGAGGCTATCAAGTTGGCACAAAGTTAATGTCCATCTGCCTGATTTTAATATAAAGGAAGCTATGCTTAAAAAAACATTCGTAAACAAAGCATGCATTGAAATTCGTGTAAAATAACTAACGTGTCTTCTGAAGCTAACTGACAATGTGTAATAAATATTCTCTAAGACAGTAAGAAGTCAGGCTTTACTGTTTACACTAATTATTGGTTTCCTTTGGCCGTTTACCTTACAAAAATTTGCTGTGCACCTAAATTAGGTGGTGTGAGATGCATTCTTGTTGTCCGTTCATCTTGGAATGAAATCCATGCAAGGTTCCGTTATAGACATTTGCCTAACACTTATTATCTAGAATCGAAACAGCCGATGTTTCGCTGTGTTATTTGTTTGATGGGGTAGTTTTCGCTCTGATTCTAGTCGTACTTTCCAGAATGAATTCTAAGGAATGTGATTATACTGATCCCCATAGTTTCTAAATTCCAGTCCTCTCAACTCCTCAAAAATCAATAGCACGGTATTGTCAAGAGATTTTCAGATGTGGAAGTGGATTGAGTGGTTTTCTAAGTGTACTTCTTTGCGTTCAGCTGTGTTAGAAGTTTCGCTCTTCCGGATCCATAGGAATTTTACGTTCGGTCTATGTGCAATTTGTAGGTTACGGTACCCTTCGTGCGTGAGGCCTTCGCTCTTTTAAACAAGTCAATTATCCGTGTCGAACAACCTGATATTAATTTAGAGGAAACTGAGGAACATGCCGAGGTTCAACCAGCTGCTGAAGGGACCTCCGCCATGGAAGTTGAGCAGGCGAGCTTCTTTTTGAGTCATGCCTCGTTGTTTTCTGTTATTTACACTCCTCAACCTTGTGTAATTTTAGCATCTAATGAATTGTGCAGCGGTAAATTTAGGTCCTCTGGCTTTGACTTATAATTTTGATCATGTTTACTACCAATATTCTGCTTTTACAACCAGTTGCAAACCCACACCTCCGGCAAAGGCGTGTAGCATGCTTTTTTTCTGCGCATACTGTCCTTGTTTTTTCGGCAAAGTTGCTTAATCGGGTGTCTGCTCATTTTTAAAATTAAATTTAGGTTGAGGGAATTTCGGCAGAGCAAAATGCCCCAAATCAACAGCATCTGCGCATTACCTATCAACAATACCGACGCATAGCTGATCTCTTGATCCTTGAAACTCGGCGTGTAGAGGAGTCAGGATTTGTTACCTTTAGCACAGAAGGCACCGAACAGTCATCGGAACAAACCGCTATTCGCAAGAGTCAATTAATTAACTGGTACCTCGAAGAAATCGCTGCTGAAACACTTCATTCTGAAGCTGATCTTATTGCGTGCAAACTCATGATTGAACGTATTATTGATCGTCTTGTAAAGAAGGTGGGTAGGGTATTAGCAGTAACGTCTGACAGGTTGCTAACGCGTTGTATTTTTTGGTTTCGGAACAGAGCCCAGATGAGTGTGTGCAAAAAGGATCTCAGTATTCTTTATGTTCACGTTTGCTTTTAGGTCTTGTGTATGTTTATTTGAGTGTATTGATTCTCCGTATCACCTTACTTTACTCAGGCTTTCTAAATTTCACCTTTGCGATAGCTAGCAGCAGTAATGGACACGAAGTAAACCGAAACGATTATGCACTCCTAAACAGGAATCACAGACTCCTCTTGTCTGTAATACATCTGATCTAGGAACAGTCAACCATGAAATAGAGCTAGCCTTAAGAAGTGTGAGCATAGTGCTTGATAGTGAACGACTTTTAGACATTTGTTAATGGTTGCCAAAAATGGGCAGTTTGTGTGGTCGTAGCTGGTCTTCCCAAAGTAGTTAATGAACTTGATTGGAAGTTTCACATGTCGTCCAATTCCTAGACCAGCTGATTCTCAATTCGTGGGTACCTCTTCCCTTGAGTGTAAATTTACGCAGTTCTTTCGGTATGCTTATTTTTACCCCGCTGTGACGTTCGACAAATTTACGGGTTGACCGCACTCTTGGTAGGTAGTTCAGGGTAGGATATCGGCAATTTCCAACACCGCAGCTGTGTTGAGAGAATGTGGGTGACCCTAATGTCTCCTGAGTCTTAGTGAAAAAATCACTGGGATAAATTGCCATAAGAAGATTAACGGGGTGCTCGTTAATGCTAGGCTTTACCCTAAATGTCCAAACATTTTTCCGAAAACTAAGACAATCCACAACAAAACTATTGCTGTTTGGATGACTTGTATTTCTGCAAGTCTTTCAGAAAGCAAAGACTATCTCCTTATTGTCATCTAGATGACTTCAAGTTTTGCCCTACTGAATCAAGCTTTAATTATTATGGTGCTTTATTCTCCTCTTTAAAATACCATAATTTTTACTTGAAGTTCTTTCGAAGTGACCCTTAAAGTAACTTTTTTTAGGACAATGTTTTGATTTCGCTATCTCGAAGCGGCCTGGATGCCTCAACCGATGAACTTGATCCTTACTTAGTTGTTCATCCCAACTATTCCATGGACTAAGCGGATTGTCGACACTGAATTTCAGCCTCATTTCTAAAGCATTCGTAACATTTTGTATGCCTGCGTAAAATGGAAAGGCAGTTCGTACAGCTTTACCATTTCGTGTGAATTTCAACTTACCAACTTTTCAGAATACAATCTTTTTTCTACAGCACCTCTTTTCGATTTTCGTAGACGGAAGTAGGTTGACTTTGCAAGTGAGTACTGGATCCGTGGGAATATTGTAGGAGGTATCTGGTACTCGATCTAGATAGAAATTAAACGGTGGCACTGCCAATTTGAGGGTCTCGTGCTGGCCGAATTATACTCTTTTTCCTGTTTAGAGGACCAGGTTAACACATTAAACTAATTTGTTTGCTGTGTATACCAATGTCACTCCAATTTGGTCGTTTTATGAGCTAGAAATGTGCTCTAATTTGCCCAAACAATGATTTCAGAATTTTGATTCGTTAAATCTCCACGGTACGTCCATTTGTGCATGGTGTAGTTTGCACTCAGTGAGTAAAGGTTTGGAGACCCAATTTGGCTTTGAAAATTCGGCAGCTCTTAGGAATCCTAATAACCGTGTGTAGGTACACGATAAACCCTTTTTCATTTTTGTGTAATTGTCCCTATGCATTACTGTTAAACGCAATAGTCTATTAGGGTACAACTAGACTGAGGTCGTGGCTGTTTAGACTTGTAAACTTGAAATGACATCAAGGCTAAAATCCTACATAGCTCTCGGTAATGCTTGCTAGATCTGACCTCCATTAATGGGTTTGGATAAACCAGCTTTACCGTACCTGCCTAAACACTGCCCGTCATCGAAGTAGTTGGTTCCATTACCACATTTTTGGGAGCGATATTGTTTCTGAACATTTTGCTTTCGATCGAATTATCTATATGACGCGCTGAAGTGCAAACTCAAAATCGTGCTCAGAATACACTTGGTTTTTTCTAGGCAATCACTTTCCACGACTATGAAAAACTAAGTAATCAAAAATAATTAGTCTCTCTTCTCGCACACCACCTTTAATATTGTATAATGGCGGTTTATATGCACTGCAATATGATGTTAAGACGATTACTTTATAGTGATAATGCCGCCGAAGTATTGCCTTATATCTAGATCCCGCTGTTTAATAATTATAACGTCCGTGGGTACTTTACACCGGGATTTAAAACAAACAAGCTGACTTATTCTTAAAGGACAGAGTGAGATAACCCCAAATTTTTTAATTGAGTCCCTTCTATTTTTGAAATTCCACTGGCCTCGTTGTTTCATTTATAAGTTTATGGGCAGTATTCGTTACACAAAGGTACATGCTATGCATAACAGCTGAAATCGCTTTGTCACGGATTATTGCATGGGTGGGTTCCTGTTGGAACACCCGTGGGATTTGCTTCTAAACGCCTGGGTAATCACTATAAGATTGGGTTGTAAATTTTATCATTCTAAATCGAAGAAATTTACGCGTGCTCTCGTAGACACGAAATTCGTCAACCAATGTAAGGCTTCTCATTTAATACCTTTTCTACTGGTCATTTCCTCTGGAGGCGGAAATTGTCCTATCCTCCAGATTCAGCGATCTCCGTCAATCTCCTGAGATTTTTCTCAGTAGCCTTACACCATTGACACCCAACTTGACTTTGGTAAAGATGCTGTTGCTTAAAATTGGCACTAAAACTGCATCTTCTTGAGCTACTGTTTGTTTTTTTTTGTTTTGGCCCACCAGGGAATCACAAAATATATTTAATATTTGTGGTTTTTCAAACTTCCAACTGACAGGCTCACACACAATAGCTAGCTGGTGAACTGACAGTTGTGTCCGCTTGGTCCTGCCTCCTATTGCCATCGTTGTGTTTTGGTTACTTTCGCTGTTAATAACTAATAGGACGACAGTGTGCCGTATTAATTGCTACTTATTCCTCGGCGAAACATTTAATGGTACTCTGCGTCCTAGGCAGTCTGGTTCTAATGATTGATTATGTGGTTCTAACGCTTCTTCGTACGGTTCTTGTGTACCTCTATTTTTGCACTTAAATGAGACTTTGAATGAAGTGCTAAGTAGTTAATGGGGATTTTGATGTGGTTTGATGTCCTTAATTAAGCAATCAGTTACGATTAATTTCAATCTAAGGGCGTTCTAGTGACATCGCTCCAACAAAAGTTTGTCTCTGTAAAGCTGATAAAGGAAAACAGGCGGTGATAATTTAAGTGTGAAAATAAAATAATACGAACATTTGGTGTGAGACTAAACACCTATAAATCAATTGACAATATTAACTCTCCATATTTAATGATGAAAATTACTGAAATTGCTTGAATTTTCGCAATGTGAACTATTGGTTACTCTTCTTTGCAATTTGGATTGACTCAAATTTATAATTTCGACTAATGCTGTCTGCGTGGTGTGTCGTTGGTGCGCGTTCCTAAACGCCATACCTTGACGCACTTACATGAATCAAGTTCTTAACCCACTAATTTACTTGAATTTTTGGAATTGATAAGTTGATAGTGTCGATTACTGTTTTTTGTCAGCAAAGTACAAAATAATTCCGAATTTTGAGTGTTTGAGCATTCACGCAAACCATAGGTTCTAAACCTTGGGTACACTCCACATTGCCTCGCTCTGATTGGCTGACACTATGACATAGATTTAACCGTCGAATATAAAAGAGCGTCAGAGAATACAGTACCTTCCATGAAAATACTAAAAATGAGACCTGTGCTTTTGTTCTGCGCCATGCTTATTCAGTTAACGTGTTTAATGGCTTATCAGGTAATTCATAATCTCCATTATGTCATTTAGACTGTTTGTGTTTGTAAAACCTATCTCGTTGTTCTTCTAGATTACACATTACTAGTTCAATATAAGTTCTTTGCGAAGTCATGAGTTTGTAGAGTACCTTCGAATTGGTGCGCTGTTTTCATTCCTGATCAATTTAAAGCCACCCAAAAGCTACCTCTCACTTTGCCGAGTTTTCATGAAAATTAACTTAGTTTTTACACTAAAGGATTTTGTATGGATACTTACTTACAGTTCATTTTGTTTAGAGAAGGCTACATATCGGATAGACAAAAGAACTTGAGCGATTAAACTAGGCAGAAAGATTCGAAACAAGACACTTTAAATTGTACTGCTTTCGCGTTTTGTGCAATATGCTGCATCGTGGAACAAAAAAGGGATTTAAAAATGTTTCAGTCAGTCAGAATTTGGGTTCAACTTGTGGTCCGCACTCGAATTAGCATGTAAGGTGAATTGTGTCTATATTGGGTGTTTTCTATTTCGTGATTTGTGTTTGTATGCGTCTATACAATACATGAATCGAGCGTAACCTTTCTAACTAACGTGGTCCTACACTTGATTTTAAGAGTTAAAGGCCAGTCATGTTGACACTAATATTGCTTTTAGACAGGTTTCAGACAACGTCGAATCAATGAGGATCTGTCCGATGAAACTCAAGGGGAATCAGTAAAACCAGTCTCAGTGATAAATCTGAGGTGGTATCCTGCCTACTTACGGAGTAGTGATCGAAAACGGATTGAGTCGGAAGAAACCCTGAAACGACTGCGTCGTATACTGGCTGACTACTAATTTCTTACATAAAATAATCATGGTTAGACTTAGAGGCAAAGTGATTAAAAGATACTGCTTACTTAATTAACGCATGCTTTTGATTTTTTTTCTGTGTGGTGTTATTAATCTACCAGGAATAATGCTAATAAATGTTAGCTCTGAATGTTGTTGATGTGCAATGCCCAAGACGGAAGTTGCTTTCCTCCACATCATCGAATGAGACGAGTCAGAAAAATGAAAGCACAGGCCTGAGAACGACAAAAGATGAGGACTAAAACTGCTGTACCTAAATTTGTGCAACTAAGAAAGATACAGGATTTAGTGTGCTTAGTGTGAAAACACACATTTCATGCCTTCTTCAGAATGCATCAATATTCGTTCTAAAAAAATTACTTGTTTTTAAATAAAAAAAATCTAGAATATTTTGCCATCGGACTTTTTAAGTTAGCAAGCTGGGTGTATTTATTTAATTAATGTTTCGATGGGATGAAAATCAGCAGACTTCTCCAAATTCCTGCCTGATTTGGAGAAGGCTGAGGGACAAAGATGTTGGATGCTTTAACATGCTTGCTAGGCAAAGTGTTATTCAATAGTTAAGCGTGACTGCACTTTTCAGTATGCAAAGCACTCCAGGTAAGGACTATATATTCTCAGACATGTGACAAACGTGTTTCGTGTAAATGCAAGTCTGCGTGAGCGTCGACGACACATTTTCCAGGGTCAGTGGTCAGTGGATCAACCGAACGGCTGTGAAAGTAGTCAGAAATGGCCCCTAAACGAGATTCATGTGAGTCATCTAAATCACCGCATACTGGAAAGTGAAGGGCACTATGAATGGGAAAGTACATTCTTATTTACGTAGCGTCGTGGTCATTTTTCCCATTAGTAGGTACGACTAAAATAATGCTTTCAACTAGTATACAGAGTTAATACTTTTGCTCTTTTTATCCTTCTGGGTTATTTTCCGATTTACTTGTTATCATGCATCACTGAAAAGCATTTACAAAATTTCTTCCGAAATCTCAAATGTGGGTCAATTATTATGTAGTTTATAAATTCTGAAAAGTGCCTCAATGTATAGCTATTTCAAGGATAGCATTAAACCCCACCAAAACACTTACTTTCATAAAAGTTAGGATATAATCAGACTCGCCCTTCGTCCCCAAAATGTTTTTTTTTTACCTTTTGGCAAGGATTCGTCTACGTTATATGATTCAGAACTGCAAACAAATTATGAGTTGACAAGGGTTATTTTGATCAGTAGGTTTGACTTAGTTTACACAAATGAAGACAGTTACAGGCAAAATATTTACAGCAAAAATTTGCTTGTTTTATAAAAATGACCTACGTTCTTATGCATCGGGTAGATAAGTAATGAGTTGTTTTGATGCTATTAACAAATTTGGTGTCGCATTTACTAGTAAGTTAATTTCATCTGTGAGATACGTTTTGAGAATGTTATTAAAATAGCATTGATTCTTGCATAAAGGAGAGATACTAAGAGACCTAACGTTTTGGTACTCTGACAAAGCAATTTTCAGAAGATTTGCAGCAGGTACAAACTTCCCGCGACCTGGTTTTATACAGCAACCTGATTAAAATGAATTAGAAATACGAAGTAGTCGATGAGTTATTAATGGTCACTCTAAAAAGAATGTACAAAATCGCGAATCAAAGAAAGTTAATGGGCTGTTCTAAATAGGCTTTTATACGAAGCAAATAACTCTCCTTCAGTGCGTGTCAAATAAAATTGATTCAGCTGGCACTTGCGTCTTTTGAATTATTGAGTGAGACAGAAATTGGCTGAAAATTGCCAAAAGGCATTTGTGTGAATGGTACTGTGAAGGAAATATTGGGAGAAAGATACCAAAGACAACGAATTTGCATTTATAATAAACAGAGTGTGCATTGTTCTCAGCGTGATTTCATTTTAAGTTGACTTGAAATTTTTGACTTTGTCTAATTTACTTTATCTTATCATACAATACGCACAGTTTTTCTAATATTTAAAAACCGCTTAAAAGTCTTCCATGTTATAAACTTTTACTGGAACGCACTGAAATATATTGAAGCATTGAGAACCCGCTGTTCATTATTCTATCATTGAACACACTTTTATAGTTGATTGACTGCACGCACTGAGATTCCGGAACGTGCAATGGCAGGATATGTTCACAGGGATATTATTTAGTATTTGCACGAACCACCAGAGATCATTTACCGATGCATAAAATGCATAATATTTATTCTAGGAGAATAGTAAGCTACTAAAGATCCCGCCGGAAGAGGCTTGCTTGATGACTTGAATGTGTCAGTGACTCACCCATATTTTAATTTGTTCCTGTTATTCACCGCCCGATACGCACACTCATGCATTTGCACACACAGGCAAACCTGCCTGGCCTGGATGTTAATAACTGATCGCATATTCAAGTGACTGATTGCCGAAGACAACTGTAAGAACTTTCAATATCAAATGTGTTTTATCCCTACTATCAAAATCTTGTAATCGAGTAGGTTATTGAAAAAACAGGACGCTTCTAACCTATGGTGTTATATTTGATTTTGCACAAAACGATAAGATGATTTCTTTAAATTTTTAAAAGAATTGATTATTGAGTTTGGCACGACGGGTTTTATTGAGACAACCGAAATGGTATAAATATAAAATTTTTTAAATCGTTTAACATCACCTTTTAAAAGCTGGATTCATTTAATTATTATTTATATATAAAGCAAAGTCATCGGTCTTCCCAAATTAACAATGTTATCAAAACAATGAATTTAAAGTGTGCTGCATAAATTGATGTAAATTACGTAAATCATTTGAAATATTTTTCCATCTGCCATTTTGAGATATTCCTGTAAATAACTTCTCTTATTGGAATGTGCAGACTTTAGTGGCTCCTAATAGCCTGCTTATTTACATAATTGGTGTGTAATTTCAAATTATTTTCATTAGTTGTTTTAAAATTCCTAAGGGTTTAAATGAACCAAATATGATGGCGGTGAAATTGTAAAATGTTTCTTACATTGCTCCTGGTCCTGCATGTCCTTCATGTATTTACAGTAACTGTAAGTCCTTCCTGTAAACTGGATTTAAGTCTTCAAAACCCACTAATTATTGGTTTTCATTTCGACCCTTTGTTACTGAATAATTTGTTTTTGTGCAACTAGTGCTGATAAATATCTATAAATTTGGATATGTAAACGCCAAATTTTAGTTTCGCACACGTTCTAACCTTTAATAACTGAAATATGTATAATAACAGTTTGGACAAATCAAGTTTTCCACGATTAGGTGTTACGCGCACGTTCGAAAATAAACTATGGGAAAATGCAAATTCCAGTGGATCTCGATATAACCTTAGATTTAGCAGAAGATTTGGTGTGGGAAATGTCATACCTCACTGTGACACTAAATTACACTTGTTGTAGCACAAGTGACGTTTCCGAACGAAACTGGTTATGTTCTTCTGTAACCTGTTTCCACCTTCTAATTACTTGTTCCCATATTTGTCCACTTGACGTGCCTTGTTTATTTATTTAGGCATCGCCATCCTCTGTAACATTCCGGCTCAATGACTCGAACTCGGACACATTGTTTTACCTCTGTTCATTTGGGTCCACCGAAGTTCCATCACAGGTCTCGTCATCAGTAAGTTAATTGATGATTAAATTCCTTTTTAAATCGATTTCTTACCTTTTTAATTCTAACAGAAGTTTATCCTCATTGATGTGCGGGATCTGCCAAGCAACCATTCGGGCATCGTCCACACTGCAGAGGCTCGGATAGAGAATGTTCGGAAGAATTTTCCAAAAGCCCAGAATACCACGGCCAAGTTAATTTTGCTTATGTTGGAGGACAAAACCGGGATCTACAAACTTGCCGATTTACTTGAAATCAATATGGTTTTGGCTGTCACGGATAACATAACCGTTGATGTCGCCGAGCCTGTCTCAGCTTTCGTTGGCCGTGTGTTCTTTGTGCAAAGTGATGCTATCATGAAACTTGACAAGGTAGTTTCTTTGCCATAAACTGCATTTTTTCAGAACAAAAGCAGTCCGAAAAAAACTTTTATCCACGTCGATGTATTTAAACAATCAATCGGTTCTACAAATTAACTGTAGGTGAAAAAAACACTGGTTGCTTTTGGTTTTGTCTCATATTGTTCGCTTTACTTTACTAAGCCATATTTCTAATGTGAATTACTTATCAGGATGTAAATTTGTGTTTTCGGATTTTGAATTCACTAAAATCTCCAAATGTTTGCATTACTCACAAAACTGGTTAATCGCCACAATGATATGTCAAAAATGTATGTGTCGCAAGTTCACTTCACGGTAGCGACATTTTAAGGTTTGCCTTTCCCTCAATACATATTTGAGAGATATTAACCAAATCATCCTTTTGGATATTGCGTTTTAGCATTTACAGTCTAACTCAGCTTCTGGATTAATCCTTGACATCGTTGAAACCGCCTCAATAGGAGTTGGTTATGGAATTCTGGCGTTTTTAATTCTCAAAGTGTTAAGTCTTTCTAGCATCATCATCGCCGGACTGATAGTTTTAAAAAACAACGAAGATCTGTAAGTTGACTCTGTTTTGTATAATATTTGATGCTTCCTCGATATATATGTTGGGTAACGCGTCTGCCTCACTTGGTTATGATCGATTATTGGACTTTTATAGTCACCGTAATCACTTCGTCTAGATAAATAGTCTCTAATAAAAATATCGTGAATTCTATCTCTGGTTTGCGTAGTAGATCAAAAGTAAATTCGCAAAGCTGCACTTAGGTGCCAGTTATACTTTCACGAAACGCCTCTTTCCCTAGAGGTTCGGGACTGTTGTAACTGCACGTTGAGATTCCCTCGGATTGTTTCATTGAAATTTTATTGTGCTGAAGCTGGGCCTCATGGCGGCTAAATTAGAAAATTCTCTTCGATCTGCTGAAGCCGAAGCTTTGTCAAAGCGTCGGTTTGGTTGACCTTCATTATTGTGGAAGTAAGGGATACGTGTGCTTTATTTTCGGATCGATTAACTTCTGAACGAGTTGTGTTGTTCCTGTTATATAAATCAAGAAACGCTCATTTGCACATTCCTCTTATATCCCAAATGAATCCTGCTGGTGCGTGTAGTTTGCCACTGTGCAGGTATAGGCCAAACCTCGGGTAATTAGTGAGGCTACTAAAAGCTGAAATGGCAGGTGCGAAGTCCAACAAACCATAGCGCTAGAAGTAGAAGAGTTGACATACGCTTTGTCTTTAAATGCATACTGTGTTTTTAAACATTAGTCTCGAGATGGTACACAAAATTCGCTCGGATGCATCAGGCCACCCATTTATGAGGGCCATCATTCCCATCCTCTTCCTCGTCTGCAGTATTTCAATTATTCTGTTGGCCTACTTCTTCTATGACGTCATAGGTGAGCACCTTTCCCACTGCCTCTTCAGGCTTGCTTGAGACTTACATTACTGTAGTGATGTTGATAGTTTACCTATTATGATCTGTGCCTAGATGATAGTCGTTATCTGGGTGCAACGTCGTGGTTCTGGCCATCTGCCTAATTATATTGCACCAGACTCTTGCTCTGAATTCATTCAATGACAGCGCTAATTTTTATCTAAAACGAGAGCCACAAAGTTTGTTTTCATCAATGACTCTTTCATCTTTGGTAGAAAACAATGTGACCATTCTCATACTAGATAATAATCGATGAGATTTTTCTTCACATGCTTCTTGTGTTGATGGTTTGCTACTTAACTTCCTTAATTGGTCCAAAAATACGTTGAAGAACCGGAAAATCTCATTCTAACTTACGCGGGTTCTTCAAGGTCAAGATTGTTGGATATTAAATGCTTACACTTCTTCAAATGCTTGTTCGTATTCTGTCGTATCCAGTTCTTTTCAAGCTGTCGTTCAATATTTTTTGCTTATTACCCTCAAATCCATGTCTGAAATTTTTGCATTTTTTTCTAATGGACTTGCATTTGCGTGGTATCTGTATTTAATTAGTGTATTCCAAGTACCATTTTTAACATTTAAAACAGCCGCGTTACTCTGTTACATCTACGAAACCGTGCATTCACGGTGTGTTGAATGAGGGCTTTTCGAATGCAGCATGCCCCTCTACACGAGAGTGCTCGACTGCGATAGTTCTCTTTAACGCCGCACATTTGTTCTTCCATTGACCCACCACCATCTTCATCACTAGCAAAATCACTTTCATTGGTTACTTTGCACAGTGGTTCTCTGGAGTAGCTTCGGAAGTGTCATTAAAGTGCTGATACTGTTAGATCTTGATTTCACTGCAGTGGCGACACTATCATACCCCCTGATGTCACTAACTCCTCACCATTCACTTCGACCTTGCTCGCTTTTTACTGCATTCATCCTTATCTTCATCTGTTGTATCCTTTCCGGATAAACGCCTTCCTCCATGCCGTTCCAGTAACTGACATTTTTGGGTTGAATCGGTCGTGCAAACGTGCTTTTGGGTTTCACGTGCGTGGTGACCAGCTTTGTAGTCTCTCTGATTAGCAAATATTGGGCTCACGGCTCCACAAAAGGCCCTTTTTCGTGCTGATAAATCAACGGAACCCTAATTTCCCTTTCTGAACTATTATTTTTTTATCCTAGTGTACTTTTTCATCGCCTTGTTTGTAATTACCGGTGCTTCGTCGATGTCTTTTCTCACCTCGACTGTATTATTCATGAAAGCGCCAGCACTGTAAGTTTACTGTTCTGTTTTTTTTTCATGTACCACGAAAAACGTGTTAACTGTACTTCCAATCCAATATTCCTGGCCAATAAAATTAGGGACTCTGATAGAGAAGGTGAAGGAAGTACACTTCTTCTAGACAACACTCAATCTCTGCCCTGTCATGATTATAAAATTGGACGGAGTAGTCAATTGTGATATGTAATCCTCAATTGTCAACCTTGGACTTTACTCTCGCGCAAATGCATTTCCACCTTTGTTTTAACCTCGTCTTAGGGAAGTATTGTGTAAAGTTGCACTAAATGTGTGAACAAGCTCCAGCCAATATAATGAATTTTTCAATTACCTTAACTCCAGAAATACCCCATGTGGCTTCCTGTGTTTTAGGATAATGCCATCGAATGGGTTGTCATAATTATACGGGTTACTGGTTCTCCTTTGAATTTCAGTTGCATGTTACTTTGAAAAATGTGTCCCATCTACTTCCATTCATCAACTGGGCTGTCATTTTGATAAAAAGTCATTTTCATTGAACGATCAGGCGTTTTCCAGCCCTATGAACTCCTCCGGAGGTGTTACCTATCGGGTAACACGAAATTCGTTGACACCTACTCACAGGTATCGGAATTCCCAGTGGGGTGGTGTTGTTTAACTGCGCGTTGCATACCTTGTTCACGGTTCTCAGTTTGAACAAGGCACTTCTCAGGTTATAGATACTGGCTAATAGTTGGATTATTGAAATGCCCAATTGTCCTACAATTAATGTTATTACTGGTTTTTAATTTTGTAGAAAACGCCTTAACTTTAGAGTATTCAAAGTAGACATAAATTTTGTGAGGTCTATACTCTTCTTCCTTTATCTCCCCTTCACTGTCACTTGGTGCATTTTCCGGAACAATTCCTCGTAAGTCATTCAAACCATAGATTCTGACCTTCGTTTAAAAATTTCGCATGTTTGTTCTACAACAGTTATGCTGCTGTGCTCGTACACGCCCCACTTCCAAATAGACAGAAACCGATCAATTTAATCCCTACCTGTGACTATTTTTAGTGTCGGTTGGATAATGCAGGACATCATCGGCGTTTTTATAATTATCGAAATTTTGACTGACTTCTCGGTTCTAGTTTCCTTTAAGGTGGGTTCTAGCGTTTTATTTTGACTCCAAGTATATTTTGAGTTAATTGTTTTTTTTAAATACATTTTTAGCTGATCTGTGCTGGCTTCTTTGTCTTCGTTGCGTATGACGTATTTTTCGTTTTCCTAACCCCCTTCTTCGGTAAGGTATGTGTTTGATGTACACGTTAGAACCATTTGTGTTAGCAGAACTTTCATTTCCCTTGTTAAGCCAAAGTAATTTGGAAAACTTAGGTGATACCTCCACTCAATAGGCCGCCTTTTTCCGACACTGCTTCTTTAAAGTTGATGTTTCGCCTCAGCACTTTTTCTTTTACCCATTGACCATCAATGAGCTATAACTTTATTTTAATGAGGTATCATCTCTTGCTGTAGTTTTCTTAGTTATTTGATCTAATTACGCCTCAGTTGTAGACCTCACCTTTTTGAGAAGGATTCGTAGTTGTTAGTTTCGCGAAGTATAAAAACGTTACCTCAAAATAAGTGCTACTGTGACGATATCGCGCGGGTCCAATCTTACTGTAATTACCTAGCCAGAGCTTAATGCATTTCGAGGACCTTCAAACCTGAGTGTCCGATTTATTTATTTTCCGTAGTGAGCAGTGTATAACAGGTCACATTAGGTCCGTTTTAACACAACTTTGTTCGCCAACTTATTGCCAGAACTAGCCACTTAATTGGTGCTTTCATTTGGATCTAATAATCTATGGTTAGTTCATTTTTGTAAATTTTGATAAATAGTTTGTAATTTCAAATTATCGGATGGCCGTTTGTGAGCATAGTCATGCGTTATGGTCCCAAAAATGCCATCTTTTACCTTAAAGGTATGCATTTTTAAACAATCAGCTAAGTTTTATTGTCACAATTCCCTTTTTTTTAAGTACTTTTGTCTTTTCTAACAGGTCAAACTAATCTCGAAAAAAAAATTAATGCGTGTGTCTGAATTTTAAAGCTTCAGTTAATCAAATGCTGATTTTTCTTCGTTAAAAAAACCAGTGGCGTTTCCATCGGGTGCCTGTGTCCGAATGCGTGGTTTTAACTTCCTTGTTCCAAGGTTCTTAAGTAAACTAAAGGACGTGCCTATAAAGGAGGGGCAATTTGTCTCCAGGTGCACATAGGGCTGTCGCAAAAGACATGTTCGCCTACAAAAAAGAAAGCCATGATTAGGCAAATATTCGTGGGCGCGGCGCCTTTGAGATTGCGATAAATCATTTAACGCGACATCTGAACCAAATTAGGGACGAAGTTCCTAGCAAGGTCTATCTAAAAACACACATAACAAAGGCAGACGTTACTGTTGCGCTAAAGTAATATTTTTTGTGTTTCATGCTTATTTTATGCTGACGTAATTGCCTGTTTATTAGGCGCGTTTGGGTGCTATTTACGATATTTTATCCCTACCTGAATGACTTTCCTAATGTCACTGGGCGATTGTTACCATTTTTCACTTAAATTTGTAGACGATTTGCATTTCTGGAATCGAATTTTTTGCATTTGTTGATGAGTTTTCTCTTGTAAATTTTATACTAAGTTTGGTACCTGATTGCTTGAAAATACCCACGCTAATAAAACTTGTTGGATGAAAAGTACTGCACAACACCTGGGGCCGTCACTAAGACTTTTTAACTTGCAGAACCAGTCGAATGCTTCAATTACGCTGCCATCGAATTCCCACGAAATTCTCACGCGTAATCGACGCAGTATCGCGTCCCCGGGGGAAAGCATAATGGAAGCGGTGGCCACGGGATCTGCGGGCTCGTCAGGTGAATTAATGCCTCTCGTATTCAAGGTATCCATGCACATCTTTGCGAACGAAATCAATTTGTGTCACAATAGTAGGGACTACGTCCTTCTCGGCTTCGGGGATGCCATCCTCCCAGGTTTGTGGAGTTATTTTTTTTATGCACCGCCTAACATGGGCGAAACGTTACCTGCATTATTGTCAGGGATAATGTACACTAAAATCCTTTTTCTTCGGAGATTTATTCTTTGTGTGTATGAATATATTTAGTTTAGTCAGTGTAAACAAATAAACGTTGTGGTGTTTACTTTTTAGGTGTTCTCTGCGTTTTGCTTGCTTTCTACGATGCTTGCTGGAAACGGAGGGTGCCATGGAATTTCCTATCCTCATTATTAGGTGAGTCGAGTCACTCTATCCGGAAGGTTTAAGTGTGAACGCTCTGTGAATGTTGAAAATCAAATCATTATGCAGCCTAAACCATCGAGTATTCTTTATTAGTGGTTTGATTTACACTGCCTTCGCCCAACTATTTCTCCGTTTGATTTGAAGCAACATGCATAAACGTCATTTGTAATACATAAAAATATTACATTAACAGAAGTACCAATGACTATCCTGCTCTTTGAAACTACCGATTTATCCACAAACTGCTGCATTTCAGGCACCTCAGAATGACATTACTAATTGATTTATCCAGAATTAAATGACTTGTTAGGGACGTGATTGCCGCTCCTTGTCTGAGGCCACCAAAAAGATTTGCCTTAAGTCGTTGCCTACAATTGCAGTGTTGTTACGGGAAGTTTTGAGTTGTGATGTTCTGCATAAATGACAGTCTGTTTATTAGATTTGTTGTTGGCCCCAGCATGTGATCTTGAACCACGCCGGGGCCACTGAATTAACTCAGGCCCGACTACACTTCCCTGTTACCCGCGATGAGGAAAAAGACCGGAGAGGACGTGTTTGGTCGGATTAGCGAGTGTTAATCAGCGTGATTCACAACAGATTCATCTGTTTTCCTATGGATGTGCACTACATTGCTAAAGTGGCTGGCTTCAACAAATTGAACCTGTAGTTGTCTCATTTACAGGCGTTTCCACGTGCTTTTCGTGATGTGACTAGTTTTTTTTTGTGTGAGCGTCCAGGTTAAGCTCGTATATGATTTTCTCGAGGTAATGAAGCGCGCTTTTGCAGGAGCATTGGCGCCAAGCTGCATCTCAGAAGTGTAATGAGCCTCCGATGCTTTTGTCGTTAATCTTGAAAAATCATTCCATAAAATATACAAAGCGAGTAATTTACATTTTTAATGCAACTAATGCATGGTTTATTCTCCTAAACTATTTGAACCAAGTTGCTTGCTCTGGTTACTAGATCATAACTGATTCCAGTGATTCGAAAGAGTGTTTTTGTCATTTTGAAGTCAAATGCATCCACTCTCTGCCTTAGTCAAGTTAATTACTGTGTACTTTAGGTTACGCTCTTGGTGGTTTGGTTGCTGCTGGTGTTCTTTTCGGCACAAAGTTGGCTCAGCCGGCCCTGCTTTACCTCTGTCCCCTTACCCTGGGTACGACAGTCTTGTGCGCTTATCTGCGTGGTGGGTGTGCTGAACTTCACGGTCTCTGGAGCACTAATTTGCCCGCGCTCATAACCACTTCGAGGGTTTTAGATGAGGACACGATGAGGTCGGACGAGCGCGCGATTTACCTTACCTCCTCCACATTGCCAGACCCACAAACCAACGCTCCCATCGACGTATGGAAAAAGGGAGCATTTCATCGTGATCGTTTTGCTAATGCATAGGTTGTGGATTCTTACAGATGCTGTGCAGTTTTAAATAAACCTTTCCCAATACTTACCCATATGAGCGCAACATTTAGTGCCTCTTCATTTGGGTGTCTTTAGTTTCCTCGGTTTCTAATCCTTATATTCTAATTTAGTTTCAGAGGTTTTAGAAAGTATAGAAAATTGATAAAAAACGGGATGAGGGCTATTTAAAAAGATGTTTGGGGCAAATCAACTGTGTAGTCGATATTCCACCCCTCATGTATAGGTTTATGGCTTTCCCGTGTCGCTCAACCGCTACTGCAAGTTTCATTATATTCTAGTAAAAATCCAGTTAGCGTGAGGTTCCTCCACACCGTCATTATCTAATCAAATTAGCCTGAAAGTTAACATTCATCGAGTTTTGCTTACTTGCGGTTGCTTATAGTGCCTGACAGTATTTGCTCTTAGTGGTAACTTCTATAGGACAAGATCTTATCATTCAACTCCTATAGTCCAATGCATGGGGACGCAGGTTTTTTTATATGGAAGGCTAGATTTGAACATCTACTGTTCAGTTAACGTGTTCTCTAATCTTCCACTTTTTAACAACATTCTTTCTTATTGTAATTCTGGTCCAAACTTACAGAGATACGAAATGCTCTAATTGCCGTCTCAGTCCACCCGCTACCTCCGAAATGGTTAATGAATTTGTGAAACACTCTGATTTCACCGCTTGGGAATAACTAATCTAAATATTCACTTGTATGCCGAACAGTGCATTTCCAACGTTCGTTACGAAATGCATCTAAGTGAATCTGACTGCGGTTCGTGCACAATTTGGTAACTGCACCCTAGTGACGGCCTGTTTGACCAAAACGAGCAGAATCACACGGCTTTCCTAACGATGCGTTGAATGAGATTGGTGTTTCTACACAAAAAGTTCTAATGACTGTGTTGTGAAGTTAAATCAAGTAATGATTTTTTATAAGGTAATGGGTCGATAAAGCTGAAAATGTGTACTTAGTTTCTGTAATAACTTTGCGTAAAATTCGATTGATAAGGTAGTATCTAACCTATTTTCTAGCTCAAAAATTGTAAAATTCTCGCTTTATTAGTCATTATTAGTCTGTAGGCGTTTTTCTTGAAAATATCGGCTGATGGTAAACTCCATCGGAAGCCCTATTCGAATCACACGCCAATGTAGCCATCCGTAAAAGTGCTAATCATGAATCCTTACCACTTGTAGGCCGCACCGTAACAACTATCGTAGGCACCAGATTTGTGTTCCATCTTTTCTGAAATTCGCAACGTCCTGAAGTTCGTGCATAAGATCTTGTGAGTAAAGTTGCACAAAACATTGATGAATTATGGAGGCAAAATAGTTTACTTCTGGTTGTATTAACTGCTGGGGATCCACGATTCCCCAAGATTGGTTTCTGATTTTATTTGCATTAATTTATTAACATTTGTTTTGTTACGCTTTTATCAAGTCAAGGTCAACCTTGACTTGAGATAGCTTTCAATTTACT